GATTATAAAGTTGTACATCTGAAATTTATATAATGTTATTAACCAATATTATCCCAATAAATTAAGAAAATTCTCTGGCCTCCTTGCAAAAATTAATACACTGATTCTAGAATTATACAGAAATGCAAGGGGCCCTGAATAGTCAAAACAATGTTGAAAAGGAAGCACAAAGTTGAAAGACTGACACCTCCCAGTTTCAAAAATTACTACAAAGCTACAGTAATCAAGACTGTGTCATGCTGGCATAAGGATAGACATATAGATCAATGAAATTGAATTGAGAGTCCAGTAATGAACCCATACAACATGGTCAACTGATTTCTGACAAAAGTGTCAAGACAAGTAAATAGGAGAAAGAATAAACTTTTTAATAAATGGTGCTAGAAACACTGGATATTCACATGTAAAAGAATAAAATTGGAGCCTATATTATACCAAATATAAAAATGAACTCAAAATGGATCAAAGACTTAAGTATAATAGCTAAAATTATATATTTTATAACTTTATGAATTTTAAGAGTTTCATACCTCTTAGAAAAAATATAGAAATAAATCCTTATGACCTTGGTTTAGGTAATGGTTTCTTAAATATGATGCTGAAAGCACAAGCAACAAAAGGAAAAAATAGATAAATTGAACTTCAATAAAATTAAAAACTTTTGTGCATCCCAGACTCTGTCAAGACAGTGAAAAGACAATCCAAAAAAATGAAAAAAAGTATTCACAAAGCATATATCTGATAAAAGGTTAATATCCAAAATATACATTTAAAAAAACTCCTACAACTCAACAACAACAACAAAACCAATTAAAAAATGGGCAAAAGACTTGAACAGACATTTGTAAATCTCCAAGAAATATATACAATGGCGCATGAAAAAATGCTCAATATCAATAAGCTATTACAGAAGTGTACATCAAAACCACAGTGAAATGCCACTTTACACCCAATAGTATGGCTACTATCAGTAAAAGGAAAAACAGATTTTCAGTCACAATGGCAGAGTAGGTAAATGCTGTGCTCACCTCCTCTTAGGACCACATCAGTTACAACTAAACCACAGAATAACAATTATTGAGAATTGTCTGAAGTCTAATGGAACTGAAGCCCTACAGTTATGGAAGCCACCTTGAGGCTGGTAGGAGGGGTAGAGATGCAGAATAGGCTGGTCCCACATCCACATGTGACCATGAAAAATTGGGAGGGATATCTTGGCTATAGAGGTTTCCCCCACCCCCACCCCGGAGGAGCCCCTCCCCAACCATTGTTTCAGTGCTGAGGAGAGAAGTCCCCTTAATTTCTGGTTGTAAAACCCAGCAAAGATTATGGGGCTGAGTGAGACAGCATGTGGCTGCAATCCGAGGTGGTTCTCTTTTTTTTTTTTTTTGCTGGCCATGTTTTATTTGTCCTTTTTCTTTAAACATGGTAACCAAAGATACAGACAGTATTCAATAAAATAAAATAGATGAAACAAATTCTAAGAGACTGCAATGCCACATGCTACATTTAACCTAATTTTATTCATGCTTGCCTTGGGATGGGGAAGAGATCATTCAGTAAAAACATACAGTAAAAACAAAATATGTCTTATCATGTACAACTTTTAAACTACAATAATAATGTACCTTAATTATTTCCATGCACACAAGTCTAACATTACAGTTTTT